AGAAGCAGCAGCCACGGGTAGATAGACAGAAAGAGGAGAGAGAGAGAGAGAAAGAGCGGGAAGACTCCCCGGCCTCTGAACAAGCTCTGTTCCCTAATTCTTAGACTTTTCTATTGTTCTCTAAAGGAATATCAACTATATGTCATTTGATTTATAAAAGAAAGCCTATTCCAAAATTTGTATCCTCTTATTATTTAAGGCAAAAGATGGATAGATGTTATTTCAAAAGAAAAGAGAGTATTTATTTTCTATTGCCTTAGTGCTGTTACAGTATACCACATATTTTTGAGTACCATTTCTTGTTCTGGAATTTTTTACATATGGAAATAAACAACTCAATTTCGTGTCTCAAAGACATAAGAAGAGCAACTAAGAACTCACCATGAGAATGGTCCATAGAGGAATTTAGGGCAGGCCTATAGAGTTGAGGGAGACTCATGTCTCTTTTTCATACAATGTGAAATGAAGAAAAATGGTCCTTGAAGAGGAGAGTGGACTTCAAAGAGTAATTTCCTAGTCACTTAAAAGTACATATAACAGGGTGGCACCTGTGGCTCAAAGGAGTAGGGCGCCGGCCCCATATGCCGGAGGTGGAGAGTTCAAGCCTAGCCCCAGCCAAAAACTACCAAAAAAAAGTACAGATAACGTACACGTGCATAGTTTTGTGTTGTTTGGCTTTTCCCCAAAGCGTCTCTCTTTTGCCCTCTCTTGATAAAAACATTTACTTATTATTATGCCATCTGCGTTTGGGGAATAATGAGAGTAATAAAAGTTGTGTTCCACTTTGTCCTTGCAAATAAGCATAACCTAACATCCTGAAACTTAGATTGTAAAAGTACAGAGTGACATGGCACTGCTGAAAATTGCCACGCTGTGCAAAATCGTGGAATAAAAGTCACAGGGCTTATGAGGAATATGGAATTGGAGGTACACAGTCAAAACTTTTGTCAGGCACATGTAAACAAAAGATGGAAACCAAATAAAAATGGGAACAGTTTCACACATGTTAAATAATTAAGAAATACATAAATATTGCAATAAATATGACTCTTTACCTTAAGAAAGACCTGAAATTTGTCTGTGTGGGTGGATGTAGGAAGTTTGCAGCTTGTGCGTTACTGGGAAATGGTAGGGGGAGGGTTATGTGAAATCAGACAGACTGTCAAAAGCCCAGGTGTGGATGGTTGTGGCTCATAACACACTTGGGGAACCAGGGACCTGGTAGCTACACTGTAGAGGAATGGACGCCATGCTTACAAGGACAGTTACTGATTCTTATCCCATTAAAAGGAAGCGCTGAGAACAGGACAGTCTCCTGGCAAGCCTAGAGACGTTTTGTGACTTGGGGGTAATCCCCCAAGTAACTCAGTGTTCCAGAATGAGAAAATTGGTCACTCATCAGTAAGCATGTGTTAAACATTGATGCTTGGTACTTCTTCGTGGGAGTTGTGGGGAAGGAGCATGTGGCAATCCTTATGCATGCAGCCCTAACTCTCCACATCTGTTGTGTATGTCATTACTTTAACTCTCCACACCTGTAGTGTATAACCTTAATAAATAGCCCTTGCAGAGGAGGCTTAGGGCTACCCTGCATTTAAGGTTAGCCCGCTTCCACAAGCTTGTACTTCTAATCCGTGTCATGCTTGGTTCCTTCATGTGGCAACTGAGACCAGGGCCTTAGGGGTTGCGACACTACACACACATGCATTTGGTATATTCATTCACAGCTCAACTCAGCAAAGTGCATCTTCTGCATTCACCAAGTGTTTCTGATGGACAAAGTCGTGCATATGCAAACGCCAAATTCATCTTGTGCTCACATCAGCCCCTAATATTTCAATTGTATTGAAACAAATTTGTGTTTGCGAAACAAGCATTATAAAAGAACTGACTGCATCTAGGAATTCTCAGGGTCGGTCTTATCTCTCACCGCCACCTTCCATTCCACTTGTAGAATAAATTTTCCTAAATGCAAATCTCATCTTTCATTCAACATCTCTCGGAAGAAGCAGACTGCTAGATGAATGTTTCAGATGATAAATAAGAAGGATTTTAAAGGATAGACAGATTGGGGTCTGCTTGGGACTCTACCAAAGTTTCCCTGCTGAAGCATAATTGAGCCTGATATTTAGGAACCAAAAGAGTTTGGAAGGAAAGCTGAGGGTAGACAAGGAGTGGAAGAGCATAAGCCAAGGAATAAGCCAGGCTCTGTAGCTCCAGGAAAGAGCCTCATGTCTAACAGGGGTCAAGGCACCACCAGCTACTCTTCATGCTGACTTGAAGAATTGAGGAATATTTCTTAGATGTCCCTATCTACCTTTTTTATTTAGCTTATTAAAATACTATCCATGAATTCACCCAAACCTTCCTTTTTAAGCCTCTCACTAACTTAAGGAACATTGTCATGCAAGAGCTGGGCAAAAGCCAGGAACACAGTAATCGGGGCATCCCCTCACCATGTACTGAACTGAGCAATCACTGTGTGCAGTGCCACCTCGGTGGAAAGAGAAGGCTCAATCCACTTTCTCGCTGATCTGGCAACCTCACTGCAAGTCTCCCTGGAGCTCATA